TGCTCTTCATAGGTTATTGTTATGTGTCTAATTTGAGTTTTTTTTTTTTTTTTTGCTCATAAAAATATGTTCGTTTTTATTGTTGTTTAACTTATTGGTATAACCAGATTAGTCGAAGTGTTAGTGGCTTGTGGTTCTTTCGAGAGGTTCGTTGAATCGCTGAATAATTTCCAGAGAAACCAAAAAATGTGTCAAAAACGCCAGCAAGTTGACTGCCAGGCGCTGCAGTGTTTTTTAAAAGCGCTAGAAATGTCACCAGATCATGAAATTGTTCGCTGTTCTGGGTATTTTAGGTAACTGTTCTGGGTATTTTAGGTTAGTGTTTTTTTTTACGACGAGCTGAAACCAACTGAAACCGTCAAAATCCCAGTGTAAGGAGAAAAACGTGGAAATTAGTTTTAGAGAAGTAAAATTTGATTGAAAATTTTGCAAAATTTCACAAGGAAAATGAAAAGTACGTACAAAAACGCATTAAGATCGTAGTACGAGAAAAGTAGAAGGCTTCTATAAGCAGCCTTCCCAAAAAAAATACAGAATTTTCATTCCAAAAAATACAGAATTGTAAATCCAGAAAAGAAAAAGCCGAGGGGTAGTTGAAACGGGCATGATTAGGTGAACAGATGGCGTCGAAATTGAAGTTCGCTTCAGCATCTGCTGAAATTTAGATATTCCACTGAGTCGTATTTCGATAGTTTGCTCAGCTGTCCTGTGACCATGTGAAGTGTTTGGATCCATCCCGTGGTTTTAGCTGTTTTTTCTTGCTTTGGCAAGGCTAGCTTTATTACGATTCGCAGCAATTGTAAAGCGTGTCGTGTCTATTCGACAAATGTTTTTATGCTTAGAGTAATACTGTGAATTGTTAGAGTTTGTTAATTTTTTTTTTTTTTTTTATGTTTCTGTTTAATGTTTTATTCGGGATTGACCCCTCTACGCGGCTGCTTCCTTTTTTTTTAGCGGATATTACCACAGAGGTACATGTGAGGATAAAATTTACGATAGTTAAAGAAACAGAGAAAAAGGTGAGAATTAAAAAAAAAATTAAGAACCGAGGAAGTGCTAAGGCGGTAGATTACGAAAATATAGGCCACCTACGTTTCACATTTAAGCTCTATGCAAAATAGAATTAGGACAAGGCAGTAAAAAGAGAGGAGTTTTAGAAAATCATAATATGAACTGAGAACGTGATAAAATTATAATAAATTCAAAAAT